CACTGCATCCTGTAAGAACCACTCTGCATATCGGCAAATGAAAACTTTTTATTCAGATAAGGCCATGGATGTTCATCAGTGTTTGCACTGCTTGATGTGCCGACTTCGGCTTCATCATTTGCTGCAGCCATGTTGCTAACTAAACACCTGGTATTAGGCAAGCTGCTAATTCAGGTTCACGTGATTTAGCTCATAAATAGCATACAGTACCTTCAGCACCCTGCAGATGGCCTTGTCCGCCCAACAAATCAGCCATGGTAGATAAAGATGCCAACCTGTCGCGCACAAGCACAATATAACGAGTAACAAGAGTCAAGTGTTGTCAAGAGTTCAAAATGTAGTGGAGTAAAGAGTAAATATATTCAGTCAAAAATGTTGTCAAGAAGAGAGTAAAAGTTGCTTATGTTTTTAAAACTCAGTACAAGTACAAAGTAGCCAAAAAAAATACTTAATTAAGGTAACAAAGTCCATTTACTTAAGTACTTTACACTACTGTATACAACCTAAAGTAAATATGAATATTTTATGAATATTTTTTGCAGTAAATGTTATAACAAATAAATAACAAGTGTATTAATAATTCCTTACATTTATATAGCGCTTTTCTGGGCACTCAAAGCGTTTTACACATAGGGGGGAATCTCCTCATCCACCACCAGTGTGCAGCATCCACCTGGATGACGCAACGGCAGCCATTTTGCACCAGACCGCACACCACACACCAGCTGATTGGTGGAGAGGAGACAGAGTGATGAAGCCAATTATGATATAGGGAGGGTTAGGCGGTCATGATAGACAGGCCAGTGGACAAATTTGGCCAGGATGTTGGGGTGAAACCCCTACTCTTTTTTATGAAGAACATCTTTGGATTTTTAACGTCCACTAAGATTCAGAACCTCGGTTTAACGTCTTTTTCGAAAGACGGCGCTCACTGATCAGTTTAGAGTCCCCGTCACTATACTGGGGCATTAGGACCCACGCAGACCGCAGGTTGGGCGCCCCCTGCTGGCCTCACTAACACCACTTCCGGCAGCAACTTAGCTTTCCCATGTGGTCTCCCATCCAGGTACTGACCAGGCTCAGCCCTGCTTGACTTCAGTGGGTGATCATGTGAGAGTTGCAGAGAGCGAACTGCCGGTCTAGTATATCCAGATGCATCAGATAATGTTTATATATATTATACTATATACTAGTGTATGTGTGTGAATGAGTGTGTATGGATGTTTTCCCAGTACTGGGTTTCGGCTGGAAGGACATTTGATGTGTAAAACATATGCTGGATAAGTTGATGGTTCATTCCACTGTGGCTACCCCTGATAAGTATGGGACTAAGCTGAAGGAAAATGAATGTATGAATTTTACCATGTGATTTGCCAACTGACCCAGCCGGGATTCAAACCAGCAACCTTCTTGCTGTGACGCGACAGTGCTAAACGTTGAGCCATTGTGGAAAACACAGTGACACAAAAAAATTTTGATTCACTTTATTGCAATTAAATTCTAATCTAATCCTGATAAACTATGGATATTGTTAGAAAGGTCTAACTTTACTAAATACATGTTTTACTGTTGTTGTTTTTTATTATTAGGCTTTATTATTACTGTCCCCCTTAACCTGTAAGACCATTACATATAACCATAATATTTAGTCTAAAATTAAAGCAATCATGACAAAATATATATCATTTGAAAACTTAAAAATTCTAGTTTCCAAATCTGAAGACAGATGTTTGCTGGATAGTAGCTATTTTGAGCAACAGCTATTTATTAATTTGTGACAAGGATACTTATAATAGTTATAAAGCATTACTTTGCTACAGCAATCCGTGTGTAAAAGCATATTTTAATGTGTTTTTAGTGGCTAAATTCAAATCAAATATCACCAAACTGCTCATAGCACATGGACACTACTGATTATTAATAGCAACCTGTACATATATTAATTTATTGTAAATCTCTGTTCATAGCTAACACAACCTGTATATAATGTTGATAGTACATCCATCTGTAAACATCACCATGGTTTTCTATAACTGCACTTTATATCAAAAGTATGAAGACGTATGCTTCACACTCCTCAAAACATACACAGAAATAGGGGGCACCCTCATACGCTCACCAATGTAAACTGAATGTCATCTCGTGGTCATGTTTGGTACTGCAGCCAAACCAAAATTTACAGAAAGCTTTTTTTTGAGATATCAACTTTAAATTTGTAATATAAATTCATTCATGCCTTCATTTTCTTGTCGGCTTAGTCCCTTTATTAATATGGGGTCGCCACAGCGGAGTGAACCGCCAACTTATACAGCAAGTTTTTACATAGCGGATGCCCTTCCAGCCGCAATCCATCTCTGGGAAATGTAATATAATATGTTTAGCAATTTAGCTTTGATTTCCTGTCAAATATGGGCTAAAACAGGTTTTACGTAATATAATAAACTATACATTTATTGTGGTATTATTTGGATAAACTTAAAGGTGCATAATATTTCTAATGCTTTGTGTAAAATAGTGTTTTGTATAAATTAACTGGTTTGTTAAATTTTTTCATAGTTTTCCATCATCATGATGTTAATTCCTATGTTTTTTTCTTTTCTTTTTCTCTCAGAGCCACATTAGCAGAGAAGGTGCCAGGTCTGTCATGTTTGTCTCGCTCTCAGAAAGATGGTCTGTCCTCCTCCACCAACAGCGATGCCTCCGCTCAGGACTCCAGCGTCAGCAGACAGTCTTCTGTGTCCAAGAACAGACTCCACAGCACTATGGTACAATAGAAAACACCCTCTGTATGTGGCTTGAATCAAAAATAGTGTTGGAAGAAAAATAGTTTTCATTTAGGTATTGCTAGTAACATTAACAAATAATTACAAAGAAGCTTTTGTTTGAATTCAAAAACACATTGAATTAAAAAAAGCATGCAATATTTAGCAATATCTCTGACATTATCTTCAGCAGATACCCCAATAATATCCAGCTGCAGGCCCGCAGAACCACACACGTTTTAGGCACACACAATCTAGGACACACGATTTAGGCAAACCATATATGGTAACTCTTTAGTATTATCGCCACCTATTGAATTTCACAAATATGGTTTCCCATTTCAGTCATCATTATTATTATATCGTAACGATCATTTTTACATCTCTGCAGTTTCTGAACTCAAATTATGTAAATAAAAATAATTGGTTAAAGACACTTATGACTTTATTCATGTGTCCACATACACAAAGAAAACATTATAGACCGTCTACTTGTTGGATTAAGTGTAATAAACTAATTTAAGCTCTTAATATTTTCATACTTGGTTAAAATCACTTTGTTGTAAAATATAAAAAGCAAACAATAATATGTCACTTTAAAATAAATGATCCTGCTATAGTTAAACATTTAAACAATATATATAGTTATAAACTGATTATCTTAACTGATTATAATTATAAGTTTATATATAAACTACTGTCTTTTACTAAACTGCTTTTTACTAAATATATGTACTATATATATATATATATATATATATATATATATATATAGGAACAAATTAACTATTAATAATACAAAAAATCATAAGTATATATATATATATATATATATATATATATATATATATATATATATATATATATATATATATATATATATATATATATATTTACTTATTTATTTATTTATTAAATTATGTTGTATTGTTAATAGTTAATTTGTTCCTATTGCTAAATTTTGGTTTGAAAAAAAATTTATTGCTTACTATAAATTACTACAGTATTAAATGTGGGAAATCATTAGTTAAAAGGTTATTAAAATAAAAAATATTAATATAGTGTTCTACATTTCTTACATGTAAAAAGATTTTTATTACATAATGTATTATTGCCTATATTAACTTGCTATTATTTCCTTCATCATAAATTAATCCATTATATAAATGGATTCAAATTAGATCGTTCAGCAAGGCCAGCAATCGAGTATCTGCCATATTAATGTCAGATAATAATGGCTGATCAGCTATAATGACTGATTAAAAACTGTTCAGTCTATTATATTGAATGGCGATCGGAAACAACGCTCCCCATTCGGAGCGTCTCAATCGCGATATTTGTGAAATAAAGTAAACACTATTGTTAATTGTGTACAATATTTATTTATCATATATATCAAAATATATCGATGACGATGTTCAAAAAGACGTTTATAACATTAACATCCGTCGTAACCAAATATGGTTTGCCTAGATCGTGTGTCTTAGATTGTGTGTGCCTAAAACGTGTGTGGTTCTGCGGGCCTGCAGCTGGATATATCTCACTGAAACAGCACAAAAGCTCTTATGTTGGACGGCTGCTTCTTTCTGTGTGATTGCAGGTAAAGGGAGAAGTGGAACTGGACCTGATGGAGAACAGGCCAAAATTGTCATTTAAAGGCTTTTCTAGACGGCGGCTCCTCAAATGCTCCTCGCTGCTTATAGAGAAGGTGAGGTTCAGTTAAAAACATAATTTGCTTTCCACTTATAAATTGGGAGGTTCCAAGATGGCGGCTTGAAGGAAGGTTGTGTGTAGTAAAGCGGTAGAGTCACGTTGTCGTATTTTATTTAAAAAATTTCAGTAGGTAACATTTTTACATGCGCAAACTCAGTATTCTACAGTTTGAGCATAGATGACTACTTTCTTTTTTCTTTTCTTTTTTTTAATCAGAATATGCAAAAAGGTACATAAATTGCAACCCGGGCTCTGCGGACCGCGATTTACGTCCCGGGAGGTACGTATTCGAGCGGTTTTTGTTTTCGCGGATTCGCGAGAGGCCGCTGTACGCGCTTTTTTGTGTCTTTGCCGTTTGCGCCCGCGCCGTTCTCACGCGAAAAGCCGCCGGATCGGCCGACTCGGCCGCCCTCCTCTTCCTCCTCCTCCTTCCTTAAACCCGAGCGGCGGTTCGCAAAAGCCGTCCAGAAAAAAAAAAAGCAAAAGCCCTCGTCTTCGATTTCGACCGCGTTTTCGGATCCCGCCACGTTCTCGCCCTTATTTTTCGGATTCTGTTTTTCATCTTACCTGATTTCCGGAACCGCTGTTCCCCGGACTCGATCCCTGTCGTCGTCCCCGCGGTCGGCTCCTCCTCCTCCTCCGGGGCCTCCGCTCCGCCGACGCAACGCTGTGAGCTAAGCGGACAAACTGGTTACACCGGGAAAGCCCTCCACTCGGAGGCGAGCCGTCGGCCGGTGAGCGCGAAGAGGAGGGGCGGAGTGGCGCTACACCGCCCCGCAGCGTTCGCTCGAAAAAAACTAAACGCAGCCTTACGTACCTCCGGCCACGTAAACCGCGGCCTCCAGAAACGTCCGCGGGGCTACGTTTCCAGAATGAGCTTGGGTTGATAAATTGGTATCATACAAATACAAAGAAACATCAAGAAAAAAAACAAGACAAAACAACAACAAAAAACAATATAGTCAGGTACTGTTTGGTGTGTGTGTGTGTGTGTGTGTGTGTGTGTGTGTGTGTGTGTGTGTGTGTGTGTGTGTGTGTGTGTGTGCGCGTGTGTGTGCGCGTGTGTGTGCGCGTGTGTGTGCGCGTGTGTGCGCACGTGTGTGTGTGTGTGTCCATGTGAAGGTAACTTGGTGGACAGGTCAGATTACATACATAAGGAACAATATCAGCCAATAAATGAAGCAAGTATCGCAGATATAAGTAAAACAGATAAAAAGAAGCCAGTCAGAGGTAGGGAGTAACAACAATGCTTAGTAATGTATGATAGTAATAATGACAGTAGAAAGAAAGAAAGGACAACAGTAATAATAACTAACAATGATAATAAATCACAAGTACTACACCAACTATTACTACAGAAAGTTACTTATATTACAACTACCACTGCTGCTACTACAGCCACAACCACGACTATTACTACTATAATGTCTACTAATACTACCACAACAATGACTACCACTACTGATATTACTACAGAGTCTGCTACAACTAATACAACAACATCTACTACTACTATTACTACTACTACTACCACCATCACTGCTACTACAACATCTACATAAACGACATCTACTACTACTACTGCTACAATGACACCTTTACTACATCTGCTACCACTATACCAATGACATCAACTACTACAGGAATTACTACTTCAATAAATCACAATTACAATCAAAACTACTACAATGACTACTACTACAACTACAACTACAACTACTACTACAACTACAACTACAACAACAACTACTGCAACCTTAATAATGATAATGGTATTAATACTTATTATAATGATAATGAAAAGATAGCAGGAGGACAGGTCAGAACAGTAATAATAATAATGATAACAAAAGTAAAAGTAATACCATTAACGATAAAAGTGACAAGGGGAGTGGAGGACAAGTCAGAGAGAGGACAAGTAATTATAATAATAACAATAAATAATAATAATAATAATAGTAGTAGTGGTAAGTAAAAGATGAAAGAGATGGAAAGGAAAAAAACTGAAAAAGAATAGGAGGAGTAGAAGAAAAGGAAAGAAACAAAGAGTCAAAAAATAAAGTTCAGCAATTAAAGAGAATGAGAATAAAAAATAAAATAAATAAATAAACATTACTATTTTAATGACAATTACTTGCTATCTAAAGTAATGACTACTTTCTGAGGCAATCGGAAAATATGGCACATAAAAAAACGCAGTTCACCAGTCGTGAAGACGAGCTCATCCACAAACACACTGTCGGACAGGGTAGCGGAGATTACAGCTAATATCTCTAAACTCATAGATGATAAAATTACAAAAATTTTAAATCACAAACAAGGGCGGACGACCTTGAAAACAGGGGCAGACAGAAGAATCTCTAAATTGTCGGATTACCTGAGGGTATAGAATGTAAAAATCCAACGTGATTCTTCGATTCATGGCTTCCTAAGACCCTCGCCATTACGACAAAAGAGGGCCGAATAAAGTTAGAGCACACCGGTCCCTCGCTCCGAAAACCCTGCCACACAATGACCATGTCCCATCCTGATAGGATTTCACAATTTCAGAGACAAACTACGTGTGTTAAATGCTTCATGGGAGCTGGGATCCAGTGGTTCTCCTTTAAAATTCGGAGACATCACAGTGATGATTTTTCAAGATTTCTCTGCATCCCATCTCTGTAAACACAGGAGGTTCGATGAAGTCAAGAAACGCCCAAAGTCCATATGCGCGGAATGCAGGCAAATTTACCCTGTTCTCCTCAAGGTAAACTTTTGTGGCTCGGTGAAGTGGTTCATGACCCAGCTGCTGTTGTGGCATTTGTAGATTCGATGAATGCAACATCTACCGATAGTACCTGAATCACCTGATGGGAGACCACCTGCCTGATGGTCACCCAACTCACACCACATGTCTCTCAGACACTCACACACTAATGTGAAGGCAGACGTTGCGAATTTAACTGGGTATTTGGGAAATATTGGTCAATAAGGCGTACTGTTCGGTTTATTAAACCATGCTGATGTTAATCCGCTTGTTAAGTGTGACGTCACTCAAAGCGGCTTCCGGGTCAAAGCGCTCTATTCAACTGTAAGGGGAGACTCATCAAATGGTAATAATAAACGTTTCCGAAGCGATTTAATACTATCGAAAATCACGATCGCAATATATATGTCCATGCCTAATATCCGATGGCCAGAAAGTGATTAATTTTTTTAGAAACTGTTAAAACTTTGTTTTTTGTTATGCAGCAAGCCCAGAGATTGTTCTGTACACTATGACTTTATATAAAATGTACTTAAATGTGTGATATGAATTAAAAGTGATCATAAACGAATGATTTCTCAACTCAAATGAGTGGCCTGGAAACAGTATTACAAACGTCACCAACATGCCACCACCTAACAAGTGGAAAGCGGCACTGCCGCTCAATATTTAGGATGGAGTTTTCTTAGTAGTTAAGGGGCCTCTTCTTCACAGTAATGAGAGTTAGTGTGGAATATTGTTGATGTTTAAAGGGCCATGACACCCCCCTCTTTCGGTTAAAGTCTACTTCAGAATTTTTTCAAAAGATGCATGATTAATGGGCGTGGAGCTCCGCGAGCATCGGGCAGGAGTGGGCGTGGCCAGCAGGGGAGAAGGGGAGCGAATAACTGCTGTTGTCAGTTAGCTCACAAAATGAGACACAAAGAGGAGACGCATGAGTTTATAGTTCACAAAGTTAAAATGCAAAGAAATGAACAGTGATTTAATGCCCTGCTACATTTGTTATTTGTAATTTTATATACAGAAAACAACAATTTATATCATTATAAAGATAAGTGTGTTCATGTAAACACTATAAATGAGGACTTCTCCCTCAATCCCCGTATCCAGCAGACTCAGTGCAGCAGGTCTCCTGACCCGTCTATTTCAACCGTTAACCCTGCTGGTAATCTGGAGGATTTAGGCAAACACAGCAGCACGGCGATGTGTCTGAATGTGAACGAACTCCTGATGAAAGACAGCGTCCGCCATTCTCTAATTCTCGTGCTGCTCTCCCGACAAAAATGCTAGCAGCACGCACACAGCTTTGCTGTATGATCAGCCCTGACAAGATCGCGGGGGAAAACATGCAACAAACCCCGTGGATGATGGAAACAAACGCATATGAGCCTTCATGAACGGCTAAATACTGTGCCGTGGTTTCCGTGTCTCTCAGCTCGGGCTTGACACTGGCAGGTCTGGCAGGTCTCATGAATAATTAAGAAGCCGGCTCTTCTCATAGGATAAGAAAACTCCGCTATGAATAATAATGAGAAACCGACGCGTCATCATTGCACTTGCAGTTCTGCGCTACGTCGCCGATTTTGATCCCGCCCCAAAAATCATTTTAAACCCGGAAGCTGAAATTAGCTGAGAAAAGCTCAAAATTATCCAGTTTTCCCCACAATGAAAGCTGACAGGTGCTAACATTGTCTTAACTGATGCTCAACACACACACATCTGTTAATACAAAAAAAAAAAGTTATCCGGGGTGTCCTGAACCTTTAATGACTGTTGTTCTATTGTTCCAGTTTTGTGTCTGTTTGTTGTAAATGAGGGCGATGCCGATCCTCTTGTGCACCACCAGAGGGAGCCATCGCCCGAATTCTAATTCGACTCACGGACTCAAATTCCCATAAGCCCTGCTACCTGGCACTGATTGCGGTCCAGGTGCAGCTTATCAGATCTCGTGTATATATACCACACTCACGCTCTGGTTCGTTGCGAAGTCTTGATTTGCCTGGCTGTCATTTCTGAGCGTTCCATACTCCCTGCTTCAGACTGATCTGTGTTTCTGACCCTGTGCTTGTTCTACGATTACGAAAGACATCTGCCTGCCCCTGATCTCCAGCCTGTTATTCTGACCAGTAAGATATCTGCCTGCCTTTGAACTTTTGCTTGTCCCACGTTCTGTCTCCTGGATTACCCCTTTGTGTTTGTATGTATGTGTGCTTTTAATAAAGCTTGCAAATGGATTCAATGCCTTCTGACTCATCACAACACTGTTGTATACTTGGATGAATCCACTTATAAATCATCATAGATATATACACTAGAAATCGCATAGGAACCCTGAGCATGCGTCTATAGCGCCGCCACATTGGTACAGTGCTCCCAGGACAAGTGTCATTCAACCGCACTAGTCAAGACAGTGATATTACGTGAAGATGCGGGACTTTAGCGCTGTCTACGGGTGTAGTAACGAGCAAACAAAGAAAACAAAGCACAAAGGCAGAACATTTCATAGGTAAGATTAAGTTTTTTACGTTTTTTATGTTATGAACTTTTGTCTTCAACAGGTACCATTATTAATGATAATACAGTCACTTACTGCCTTCACCATAAGGCAAAGTAGCTCCAACTCGCACTAAACACTCGGCTTATGCTAGTTTCGTTGAATAAAATCAGCAAACAATGCAAAAGAAATATGAAAACGAGATGCTGCGCTGCCAGAAACTTGTATTACTGTCGGCTAGTGAACGAGTCGTTCATAACGGGGATTCTTTCACAAGCGAATCGCTCCCTCTGTCAGTATGAGAAGTGAAAGTGTAACCAGTTCTGCATTAGTGTTTTCTTATTTTTATGAAGGAATAACCAGTCGGAGGTCGGGAGTTGTGACAGCTCTTTACTCAATGAGAATAAACAAAAAGCACAGCTTTTACAGTGTGTCTTCGCCCTTACATGCGCAGCCAGTGCAGAGATGGAGAGACATAGAACATAACTCCAAACAATTTTAACAAAGTGACAAAACATACCTGAGAATAAACAAAGCACAGCTTTTACAATGTGTCTTCACCCGTACAGCTTTTCTGCAATGCATTTAGCATTTACATGCTTCACTTAGGCTAAAGTAAATCAAAACCTCAATTTAAGTGATGACACAAAAATAATGAAATATATGTGAAAAATAAAGGTATAAATACTATTTAAACATGAAAACTGGCTTTAAAAGTTATTTATAAAGTAAAGATGATTAAAGATTAATTGGAGCTAGACACCTAATATCAAGCTTTGTTCGTGTTTTTGAGGCTCTAATATCCACTTAGCACATTAAGATAGCTTGGGCCATGGATTTAAATGAAGAAGTGGCTGATAAGATCTGGGAAGAAGCCCTGTCAAGAATAAAAAAAGCTTCAATAAATTCGAGACATAAATTAATTTAATTTAAAGTTTTACATCGCCTTCATTTCTCTAAAACTAGATTAAGTAAAATCTTTCCCTCTGTATCTCCTAAATGTGACAGATGTGGTAGAGCAGAGGGGACTTTGGCACATTTATTTTGGTTTTGTCCTGTTCTTTATGAGTTTTGGTCCAGCATCTTTGAGTTGTTTTCCAGTGCTTATGGAACCCTGATGGTTGGCATGATCACAGCTAAAAAGATGATCTTACTTAATTGGAAGTCTCCAAAGGCTCCCTGTTTTAAGAGATGGTTGAATGAGCTGCTTTATGTCATTCAAATGGAGCAACTACGTCTTGAAACTTCACAGAAAAAAGCTGAAACCACATGGGGACCTATTTTAAGACTCTTGGGAATCTAGCATTTTACCTTTGGAAATTTTCATCTCTAACTCATATATTCATGACACTGACTTTGTAGAAATGTTAATACTGTCATCCTTTTAAAAAAATTGTTTATGCTACATATGTCATGTGTATACTTATGTATATTTGATAACTGAGACGATTCCTCCCTTTGTTTGTTTTTTTTTTTTTTTTTTTTTTTTTTTGAGGGGGTGGGATGGAGCTAATGTCAATTATTTTGTATTGTATTTATTATTATTTTTGTATTATTATTTGTATTGTACTGTGTTTGTTAAAAATCTTATAAAAATGGTAAATAAAAATAAATATTACAAAAAAAAAAGATTAATTGGAGCTTAGCAGACACCCACCTCTCCCATGCGCAACCACTGCAGAAAGGGAAGAGGCGGGTGCAAAACAGGAAATTAAACAGCGTGAGCTCCCTTCGAAATTTAAAGGAAAAGACAAACTAACAAAAAACTCAGGTACACTTACTAACACATTAGATAAAATACATATTTTGTGTAATTCTATACTTATATAGCGAATTATAATTTTCATACCTGTTACAAAAGCAGGGGAGGAGGTGTGTTTCTGGGCACGGATTAGATCAAATTTAACAGGGAGGGTGGGCAGTACATTTCTGTACACACAAACACAAGCGTTTTGTCAGGAATGCCAGTGCGATCACTGACCCATCAATGTAGAAAAGTGATGTAAGTTTAAAATTTTCGTAATTAAAAAATAATAATTTGCATACTAACATCCAGGAAAACTCCCGATCATAGAAATATGTGTATATGTGTATATCTCTGGCTTTGGATGGCCACAGCCCTCCACTGTACCTTGGTCCCGCATTCATTTCAAAGGAGCGCTACCCTGTTCCAAAATGGCGGCTCTATTGACGCATTCCTTCCAATAGACAACAACAGGGGAGGCGACATCTAATGTATATATCTATGATAAATCATTATAGACAGATCTTTTGTGAGCTCAGAGGGTGTTAATCAATTGTGGATGCTTCTGCTAAAGTCTTCAGCAAACACTTCTTTTTAAAATGTGCATCACATGGTAAATCACAGGAGGTGTGTCGAACAATGTGTGTTCTACGTGATGTTAATACACTCATGTGATGTTAATACACTCATGTGATGTATAGAGCTATGGAAAAAAATATGAGAGACTGCTTAAAAATCCCCAGTTTCTCTGGATTCACAATTTGTGTTTGTTGTGTTTAATTTGTGTTGGTTCTGTGTTTGAGAAAAACTTTAATTTTCTGCATAAATATAATTTATTAATAATCTTCTACATGGGTGGCACGCTGGCTCAGTGGTTGGCACTGTTGCCTCACAGCAAGAAGGTCGCTGATTCGAGTCCCGGCTGGGTCAATTGGCATTTCTGTGTGGAGTTTGCAAGTTCTCCCTGTGTTGGTGTAGATTTCCTCCGGATGCTCCGGTTTCTCCCACAGTCCAAACACGTGTGCTATACTGTAGGTGAATTGAATAAACTAAACTGGCCGTAGTGTAAGAGTGTGAATAAGTGTGTATGGATGTTTTCCAGTACTGGGTTGCAGCTGGAAGGGCATCTGCTGTTTAACTAAGCCGAAGTGTGTGTGCGCGTGTGTGTGCGTGTGTTGTGTGTGTTTACAGCCTCCAGTGCAGATGAAGGAGTCTCTCAGTCTCTGTGAGCGAGATCTGGTCTCGGGCTCCTTCTCCATCGCAGCCGCACCGATGGTCATGTCCAGCAAGCAGAAGAGCAGGAGTGCAGATCTGATCCACAGCTCAGGAGACTCACAAAACCCCATGCAGAAGCTTCTGTCCATCAGTCAACTCCAGCAGATTCATGAAGGAGAGGCCAGCTGATCAATAAACAAGCGTACAGGCTTTCATCCAGTGCGAAGGAGAGACGAGGAGTGCTTTAGAGGTGCGGATTTCGTGTGCGATGGTCAAACGTTGACAACTGAGGTTAATTATTGGAGCCTTTTTTATTTTTGTAAAATTAAATGAGGTTGTTTTTTATTTCAAATTCCTATATTCTCCTTTTGTTCCCACAAAATTAGGTCACACTTTACAATAAGTTTCCATTAGTAAATATTAGTAACGCGTTCACTAACATACAGTTCATAGTGTAGCGTGAACTAATAAGGGCGGCACAGTGGCTCAGTGGTTAGGACTATCGCCTCACAGTAAGAGGGATGCTTGTTCGAGTCCCGGCTGGGCCAGTTGGCATTACTGTGTGGAGTTTGCATGTTCTCCTCATCAGGGGCGCCAAAGTGAGGACTATTCTAAGAGCCCACACTGTTTTGGGGCCCCCTGAGATACTACAAGAGTGTACAGCATTTATTAATGATAGTTTAACATTTACTAATGCATTATTAAAATACAAATTAATGAACTGTGAGGTAAAGTCAAATGTAATAAACTACTTTGTTTTCATAAACTAACATTAACAAAGATATATTAAGGATAAATATTGTAATAAATGTATTGGTTATTGTTTTTTTTTGTGTTAGTGAATACACTGACTAACATTGACTAATGCCATTTTACTGTAAAGTGTTACTGAAAATTCTATATTGACAACATTTTTATTGCAAATATGGGTTTAATGGTGTTATATAAATACGCCTTTGATAAAAAACACACAGTTTGACACAAATATTTAACAAAAAATCATTTTATTATTTAGGAAATTATAAAATGTTTGTTTTAATTACAGAGAATATAAACCGATTTGTACTTGATGTGAAAATTTTGTTACGTTCATTCATGACTTTTTTTTTTATTACAAATCATATATTGGAAACATTGTTTTAAATGAAAATATGTTATATGTTGTTACAAAATAAGCTTTGACCAAAAATCAATCACTTTGACACAAAGCTGTAACAAAAAGTAATTTTATTACCAAGTTAAACCTATTTGTAATTTTTAATTAAAAACTTTTTTAAAAATTTGTTTATTGAAACAAACAAATTTTGTCAAATTAATTCATACAATTATGCTTATTATAGCTTATTTGAATCACAGATCATATATTAAAACTTTGTGTCAATATTGGAATTTTTTAAATGAAAATATGGGTTTAATGGTGTTATAAAAATATGCTTTGACCAAAAACCGAACATTTTGACACAAATATTTAACCAAAAATCATTTTATTGACATTTCTGTTTTAAAAAATACATATGAAATGTTTGTTTTGATTAAACATAAACCTATTTGTACTTTAACAAATTGAAAATATTTCTTATTGACAGTTTTTGTCAAAATAAATTATATAATTTTAATAGAAAAGTTAAATTTGTTTATTGAAACTCATTTTATTGACACATTTTGGCAATTTATTTCATGAAATAGCTTTTGTTTTAATTACAGATCATATATTAAACACATTTTAAAAATAAAATTGTATTAAATTATATAATAAAATATGCTTTAAACCAAAAATTACACATTTTGACACAAATATTTAACAGAAATAGGTATTTTAATAACATTTATTGACAGTTTTGCTTAAATAGGTTAGATAATTTAATTTTAAAAATTCTAATTTGTTTATTGAAACTGGTTTTCATTGACAAATTTTGTCAAGTTAATTCATGAAATAGATTATTTGAATTACAGATCATATATTGAAACTTTTTGTCAAAAATGTATATATTAGAATTTTTTAATGAAAATATGGGTCTAATGGTGTTATAAAAATATGCTTTGACCATAAATCAAACATTTTGACACAAATAGGTAACAAAAAAATAATTTTAACATTTCTGTTTAAAAATATATAAATATGAAATGTTTGTTTTGATTAAACATAAACCTATTTGTACTCTAACAAATTAAAAATATTTCTTATTGACAGTTTTTGTCAAAATAAATTATATAATTTTAATTTAAAAAAGTCAAATTTGTTTATTGAAGCTTGTTTTATTGACACATTTTGTAAAAAAAAAAAATAAAAGATCATACAGATCATATATTAAACACATTTTTAAAACTAAATTGTGTTTAATGATGTAATAAAATATGCTTTAAACCAAAAATGACACAAATATTTAACAGAAAAAAGTATTTTAATAACATTTATTGACAGTTTTGCCTAAAGAAATTATATAATTTAATTTTTAAAAATCTAATTTGTTTATTGAAAGATGTTTTCATTGACAAATTTTGTCAAGTTAATTCATAAAAAAATATTGTTTTAATTACAGATAATATATTTCCATTTCTTGAAATTCAATTGAATTCAAGTTGATTTGTACTGTATAGTGCTTCTCACAATAATTAATGTTCCAAAGCGGGTTTAAAAAAGGTGCACATTATTACATTACAATCAAAATTACATTTCAGAATGTGCTTTATTTTTGGCAAAATTGTTCTTAATGATTGTTGTTAGTCAAAGGAAATTAAACGACTTTTTTCAATCATATATATATTACTTTCCTTTTGACAACATTGTATATTGACGATTGTTTTATGTACACTTTTTGTGTCAAAAGAAATGGTACTGTAAGTTTTTTATTATAAACATTTTTAAGATAAAATCATATTTTCCTTTTGACAAAATCGCTTTTTAAAAGTTGTTTTATTACTAATTGTTGTCAAAGGAAATTATGAACGTGTGTTTTGATTAAGCACATTATATTTGTTTTCGTTTTGTCTAAAAAAAAATGTATATAGAACACATAAATATAGATATAAATATAAATTGTACTTTACGCCTTTGTACACATGACCTCATTTGAGACATTTCTGCAAAAGTGTTTATATGTGTTGTAAGAGAAAAAATAAATGATAAATAAATGTAGTTTTTGTCTTTTTTTAATAAAATATTTTGGTTCACAACAGTGATTTGCAGACTTTAAGCACTTTGTAAATATCTATATTTATACAACAAACAAATATATATTTCTTATATTTATATCCTATAATTATATATAAATTTATATTCACTATATATACAACAAACACACACACACAGTACAAGTCAACCAGGAATGTCTACCAGTTGGCACTGACAGTCTTTTTTGTGAGTGTCTGTGTGTATATTCACCAGAAAAAAGAAACTTATAGAGGTTTGCAACTGCTTGTAGGAGTAAATTTGAGCAAGAATACTTATTTATTTTTTTAAATAGAACAAAAATAGATGCCTTATTACAATGTTTTGTTTTATAGGGTGCTTTCACACCTGCCATATTTAGTTTCTTTGAATCACTCTCGTTTTCCCTCTTGGTGCGGTTCGTTTGAGCAGGTGTGAATGCTATTGTATATAATTTCTATGAATATTTTCATATTAGTCAATAATATTACTGTAAATTATTTAAAAACTGAATAAATATAGATTTACACACATTTACACAAGTAAATAACCAGAATCAATGATGGGCAAAGAATCTGCACGCGTAGATTCTGTGTGGGCCTAGTCATGTTGTCAGTATAACAGTGTACTCTGGAGGGGTGTTCTGATGTAAACTGTGGCTAATTTATTTATTTATTTTGCTGTTTGTACTGTAATTTGTTGCCAGATCATGTCGTTGTGATATAGAAAGGAAAAGACAGCACTACACAGGACAAAGAAAAAAACAAAACAAAGGAAGAAATGTGAACATAGGACACATGGTGGAGTCTTGTTTTAAGCATGCTGTAATACAACCCCTTTTAAAAAAGCCCAATCTAGATTCATCTGATTTAAAAAACTATCGACCAATTTCAAAATTGTCTTTTCAGTCCAAAATCTTAGAGAGAGTTGTCTTTCAACAGCTTTCTACTCTCTTAATTGGAAATGACATTCTTGAAAAATTTCAATCTGGTTTTAGGACACTGCATAGCACTGAGACAGCTCTCCTTAAAGTGTCTACTGATATTTTTCTGACTGTTGATTCTGGAAAATGCGCACTTCTGATTTTACTAGACCTGACTGAAGCATTTGACACAATACATCGCAATATTTTGACTGAGCATTTAAGATTGTGGGCTGGGATTCAAGGAAATGTTTTGAATTGGTTTAGTTCTTATCTCTTAGGGAGAACCTTTTCTATTGAATTGGGAAATTTTTCTTCCTCATCTGCACGTATGGAGTGTGGTGTCCCCCAAGGTTCAATTTTGGGCCCAGCTCTTTTCTCCATCTACATGCTTCCCTTGGTTGCTATTTGTAAGAAGAATTATTGTTGTTGTTTTTATTATTATTTTTTTTTTATTTATTATTAATAAGTTGTAATTATCATTTCTTTATTTAAATGGCCAAATTGTGACTGAGGACAGTTAAATGTGCTGGCCAGTTTGTTTGTTTTTTGTCTACTAAATGATAGTGGGCTTTTTTTACTTAAAAGCTTAGATTATTTTTTCCCCTAATGATATGTGATGTAATAAATTTTTTTGATGTTTACATTTTTTTATTGCAATATTTTAGGAAATATTTTAGTACATCAAAAAGTGTGGTTATGATATCTGACTAGTTAATCCAGCAAAAAAAAAAAAAAAAAATCACTTAAATGCTGTGTTTAAATCTCATAGTTAAAGAGAAACTGAGGCGTATAACTGCAAAAAGGTCCACTTTTTGAGAAAAAAAAGAAACTGCCCTCTCACCTGGCTGGCTACGGGCCTGCTATATGTGTTTTCATCATCCACCCAGCAGAGGGCGCGTCCGTATCTGTCATCATCCGCACACAAGTACAATTTTACAGCTGAAATACCAAGTAAATAACTGAGCAGCATAACCTAGCGTTGCAAATATCCAATTATTTCTTTAACCAGTCAAACTTTTCCCCATTTTTTATTAACAACAAATACAGAATTATACAATAAGATGCAAAACATATATGCCAGAGTGTACATAAAAACATTCAGTAATTCAAATTATTTTGTTTCTTAAGAATATTTCATGTCTGCTTTACTTTTTTATCAACAATGTTCTGCAAACTTGTGCAGTAGTCCTTAGTCTCTTAAAGGAAGTGAACAAAATTTGGATTTGATCCAGTCCATTTTTTGTATGTATATGAAACTTTTCCATAATAATAAAAAAGTTGAACAAGAAAGGTACGTTTTTACATATATTAACATAATAAATGCAAATATCAAAATGTTGTCACTTGAATACAATATTTGTTTCCCTTCTAAGAAAATTTTCCATATCCACCCAGAAAATCCTAGTATATGTAATTCTTCAAATACGGGCACTTTTATGTCCTTTGATTATATATATATATATATATATATATATATATATATATATATATATATATATATATATATATATATACATATATATATAATTCGTTCAAATTCCTCTTTCTTTGTCAAACTAACAATAATACCTAGTTTTAAAAAATTACTAGCTTTCTATTATATTTATTTTCTATTTTTCTATTTATATTTTCATATTTATTTATATAGCACATTTCATACACAGTGGCAATTCAAAGTGCTTTACATAGACAAGAATAAAAGAAACAAGTAAAATATAAAAAATAAAAACAAACAATAAAAATGAGTTTAAAAAAAGCATAAAAACAGGTAAAATGTGATATAAAAGAATGAAGAAGAAGAGAAAAACATAATAGTGCAATCTGTCGGACGCAGCACAGTGCTCATTCAGTAAAGGCAAAGCTAAACAGATGTATTTTAAGTCTTGATGTGAATGTGCCTAATGTTGGAGCACATCTGATCATTTCTGGAAGCTGATTCCAGCAGCGGGGGGCATAGTGGCTGAAAGCTGATTCACCCTGCTTTGACTGAACCCTTGGAACTTTTAGTTTATAAGATCCTAAAGATCTGAGTGATCTGTTGGGTTTGTATTCAGTGAGCATATCTGTAATGTATTTAGGTCCTAGGCCATTTAGTGATTTATAGACCAGTAATAATACTTTAAAGTCTATTCTGAATGTAACTGAATGTAACTTAAATAAGAAGAGAAATTGTTCATATTTAACGTTTTGTCCTTCAAGAGTTCACACTTATCTGATAATCAGTAAAGCGTGATTGGCATGCTGTCCCGGAAGAGAGCCCTGAGCCTGTAATATCCTCGAGCCCGGGGCTCCCTCCGGTAAACTATATTTGTATAATAAATAGAGCATGAACTCATATATTGTATAAACACTTGAGTGATTTGGAAATTTTAGGTGTCAAAATCACTGGTTTCACCTTGTCGCACACCCAGAGTTTTAAACTTCAACAATGAAAATAACATTTTAAAATATTATTTATCTGGTAACTATCAATGTATCTTAATAAAGCACTAGTGAAATTATTGAAATATTTTATAGTTATTAATGTGAGACTATCAATATGATTTTTGGTAAAAAAAACAAATAAAATATAGCTGTTGCACAGTATCAGAGTTATTTCCACCACAACACTGTAATGTCGCTTTAAAAAGTTTGTGTGAAAGATTATTGAGGGGGTTTCTATGAAAATGAACAGTGCCATCTGAGAACATGTTCAAGATGCAGGGAATTCACATTTTTATCAACAGCACTTGAAGAAAAATCAAGGTAAATATTGCTTGATAAGGAAATACATTTATTCTACGTCATTTCCAAACATGTTGTACCTTTAAAGATGTTTTTAAAAACCAAACAAAATTAAGGGAAATAAGATACATGAAAGGCTGTTATCAACTGAAAGCTAATCGGTGAAGCTGTTTTTCATTTTTTTCCACAATAAACTGTAGAAATGTCATTTCCATCACCACACACACTTTTAGAAAATAATTTAAAAGTTCTCATCACACAATAAGTGTATATACAATATATGAGTTCATGCTCTATTTATTATACAAATATAGTTTACAGGAGGGAACCCCGAGCTCGAGGATTTTACAGGCTCAGGGCTCTCTTCCGGGACAGCATGCCAATTACGCTTTATTGATTATCAGATAAGTGTGAACTCTTGGACAAAATGTTAAATATGAACAATTTCTCTTGTTATTTAAGTTTGTCCTCTTACAGATCTTAAAACTGGGCAAATTGTGTAAACTAATGAGGCTATGTTATGTTA